AACTACCATTGATTTACAGTTACAGGTCTGCACGATATGGATATTTATATCCAATCACAATTATTGTTAGCTGCTTTAAACATTACTACACATATACTTAGGAAAGGAGGTACATTTGTAGCAAAAATATTTAGAGCCAGGGATGTATCCCTGTTATATTCTCAGTTAAAAATATTTTTCCCCTATGTTTATTGCACAAAACCATGTAGCTCGCGCAATTCGAGTATAGAGGCATTTGTAGTCTGTAAAGATTATTCACCTCCAGAGGGTTATAAACCTCACATGCTGAATCCGCTTTTAACTCATAAGCCATTCAATTTTGATGAGCTTACAGGCATTAATAGGGTTATTGTACCATTCGTTGTTTGCGGTGATCTGAGACAGCCTGATTCCGATACCTGTTACGGACTGAATGTAAGTTATTTACATCTACGGTTTCTATATAAGATTAACATTATCATCTGTATTTTTTCTAGTATGAGGGTAAGAAGTACAAGTATCACGAACCGGTACAGACACCAATTTCTCCACCATACGAAGAAGCGTTGTCCTTGATGGGGAATAGAGATACCGATATCAGAAAGCTCGATGTTAGTGTAGTAATAGATAATCTAAATTCAATGACCATTTCAGAATTTAAAAAGCAAGCAAGGCAAAAGCGTAAAGAAGCAAATGAAAGTGGGGTAACACAGGTAGACAGTAAAGAAGATGATAATAGTCAGGACGTGTTAGGAATTAACGAATTAATGTCTGCCGCATTACTTGATGAATCTAATGATAAAGATAACGATAACGTATAAAAATTTTCGTATCACTTTGTATTATACAATTTGTACGTTAAAAGTGATTATTATATTATACTATTTTGTAAATATAACTCTGATTTCAGAAGAATTATTGTTATTCTATAGCCTTATTCAATCATAGCTGACTAATTATACCTAATCAAAGTTTAATTTAAATGTTCATAATTAATTCATTCTAACGCACATTTTATTCTTTTAATTCACATATTTAATTTTTTCTAACATATTTCATTATTCGCCGGTTGACATATTAAGTTATGTAAATTACATGATTTTAAACGGTGTCAAATGCCGGAAATCATTTTTTCATTATTACCAACACATCATACTCACTGTATACTTTATGTACTTCGTACCGTGTTGTCTACAATGAAATAATAAACACCGAATTGTTCCAGTTGCGACGACCTTGTTCAGACATGACGCCAGCCAAGGTATTTATCCAAAATTTCTGCACAAGTTTCTCCATTTATTTCAAGTAAGAATCGTACGATCAAATTTTGTTTGAAACAATTTTTCATTGAACAGCCGAGTCGAATTTGTTGCGTCTGCAGGAAACTCTTCTGTTGCGCGGATTGCCGTGAGCGACACGAGAAAAATAAACACGCGAACCGGCAAATGAACTGTCCACTCTGCATGTCTCAGAAACTTCCGTTAAAACCAATCGAAGATACGAAGTTATTTTGTCACATAGTGATCACCCATCTGCCTCTTCACTGTTCTTTGTGCGGTGAAATTTTCAAACAGAGCAAGGACTTAGAATCATTTGGTAAATATCTATAATATTTATAGTATTCCTGTAGAATGATGGCATCATTTGTCTGTTATTTTTCCTTCTGAAAATCCTATATTATTGTGTGGCACATTTGTTTAATAAAGGAACTTGCAAGTGGTGGAAGGCTCGGCAGCGTCATTCACTGGTCACCCAACAAAAATCCGAACTGAAAACACCACCACTGCTATCAGAAGGAAAAGAATCATCCGCATACAATGGAAACTCGTGTTCATTGACATCTCCTCCAGAACTCTACAGAAACACCAGCACGCCCATGGGTGTGTGCCAGAAGACGAGCTTTGACTTCATAACGCCGAACGTACCGAATTTCTCGCTGCAAACACCGCAGACCGACTCTGCGTCTTTGAACACAGATCCGCCTAGCAGCGATTACCAAAGTTGCACTTCGAAAGTTGAAAATTCTGGTAGCAACTATATGAGCTTTCCTTCGACGACCAACCACGAGGAAACTCCGTTTCGTTCCGTCCCTTCTACTCGCAGCAATAAGGACGAACTACCGCGAAGCAACTCGAGAAATCTAAATATCATGAACGAGCGGAGTAACGTTAATTCTAATGAACGTTCTAATGATAATCATTGCGTCGAAGACATGGAGTTAACCGGAGTCGAAAGTAAAATACTGCCAGACTCACAAGGGTTGGAAAATCCAAAGTCGAGACGCTCTGATTCCTTGAAGAGGGTGAGGTTTTCGGATGAGTACCAGAATCATCCAGCATCCAACACGATAAATACACCGAATATGACGACAAACGAAGAGTACTACGAAGCGTGTGACACGTTGTCCGACATTAAGGAGTCTCTGGAGAATTCTCAGATGGATATGTACGCGGAGAACATCAAGAATGCTGAGAAAGAAAATCGTAGCCCGGACAAAGCGAACGCGAACGCGAATTCAAACGGTGAAGCAGTATCTGGTTCCTCCCGAGTGGTGATGATGGTGGTTATGGAGAACAATTCCACCCTCTCCACTTCAGATGTAATAGAAACTAGTCTGAAGAAATTAGGACGTATCGCTTCCAGTGTGAAACTTTCAAGCAGTGATCACAGCTCTCCCGCTTCCATAACGTCTGTAGACAGCTATTACAGCGTGACGAGTCATAATTATCGATCATCGCCAACTGAATCAAACAGTTCCGTCAGTAGAGACTCGAACTCTTCAACAGTCAGCAACGACAGCATCAGCTCTGGTGGAATTTTATCCGTATTCGCCAATGCAGTGAGAAACGTCATGAAAAATTTTCCTGGTACATTAAATATTTATAGGAATACCAAAAACTGCACCCGAAAGGTCTGGTTTAATTGCATTCTTTTCTGTACAGGGGTAGGAACCTCCAGAACTTTGGAAGGGCAGCAATCTTCTCAGGACACCTTACCAAGACTGTCTTCCTCAGAATCGCTCAGTTCTGAGTTGAATTTACCGCCTTCTCTTTTGCAGAGAGCAGGAAAACGTCCAAGAGATACCATCGAAAGCTCGCCCTCATCACCTAGACAACTCGAGTTCAGTAGTCCCCTTCCAAAACGACCCCGCGGATGGTACAGAATTAAAGGACGAGAACCGATCGCGAGGATGCGAAATAATCGGATCACTTCTCCTAGAGGAATATCTTCGGAGACTCAAGTTTTCCATCAAGGATCATTGTCCGTCGGTGATACGGTTCTTCCCCTTCCTTCCAGAGCACACCAGTCCACGCAAACTGACTGATAATTAGTTTTATTCGGATTTTGACAATTGATATTAGATTATTTTTATTGCATATGGCATTATTGAACTTTTATAACTGTACATAAACTCGTTGAAACGATATGATTTACGTGTTGGTTGAAACGATTTTAATACTTTATTTTTATTAATTGTTTAAATGTTATTGGGCATTGTTTTTCTAGTACAAAGAATTATTACAAAGATTGCAACGTCTTTTTTATTGTTAATTAAAGAGCAATATTTAACATTATATTACATCGAATGCTTTTAAATTTCTTCTTTCTCTACCGCCCTTCTTAAGATCAGTGACTACAGATAGTAGAAAACTGGACATGCCTTTGTTCTCAAAGGGTCGTGAATTTGTTCCTTCTGCCTTATCAAGTAAAAGCCGGCACAGGGTGCGTGGGTGCGACCCCCGGTGTCAGCCACATGCTCGGCGGTCCCTAGGTATAGTGAAAGAGGGACTACTAAAACAGGTCGGGATTATTATCCCAGCTGTGCTCTCTGCGTGCAGATTTACTTTACTTTACTGATTTCCCGACTATGGGCTTTTCAAGCCCTCGGGTGGCTTACTTTAGGAGCTTACAGTCAACGAACACTATCAGCCGCGACGTACAGATTTATCTCATCTGGGGGTGCCTGGGACCCCAGAATCATGACCCCTCGAGAACAAACGCATGTACATTTCTTGTAGCTGTGGTCACTGACGTAGCCTAACCTTATACTTGTAATTAAGGTTATGTTATTTAGTATTTATGATAGGTTAATATTCTGTTTTTGTGAAGGAAAACTTGACATATAAGTATGTTATCCTGTTACTAAAAACTGTATCTCATGTACTAACAAATTAAAGCATATTTTTCTAGATTTAAATAACAATGTCGTCCTGGAAGAAAGCAGCGAAATCAACACAGAAAACTCATCGTGAAAGGCATCAACCAGAATCTCGAAAACATTTGGGTCTTTTAGAAAAGAAAAAAGATTATATCGCCAGAGCCAGAGATTATCAACGTAAAGAACAGACGTTGAAACTTCTTCATAAACGTGCACTTAATAAGAACCCAGATGAATTTTATTTTCACATGGTCAATTCCAAGCTTGAAGGTGGAATACATAGGGAAAAACGTAAAAACGATGATAATACACCAGAGCAAATACAGTTGATGGCAACTCAGGACATTAAATATGTTGCACACAAGAGAAACATCGAAGCAAAGAAAATAGATAAACTTCAGAGTCAATTACACATGATAGATGTAGCAAATAAAACTCAGAACAAACACATTTTTTTCCTTGATGATTCTGAAGAAATGAAAAACTTTGATCTCTCCAAAAGGCTAGATACTCATCCAGCATTGTTATCTAGGCGTACAAATAGGCCAAAGTTGAGTAGATTAAAGGATATGAAGCTACCAGATATAGATGAATCTACATTAAAGAAGATTGAACAGAAGAAGCATATGTCCTACAAAGAATTGCAGAAGAGGATTGAAAGAGAGCGCGAATTAACTATTGTACAACAGAAATTAGAAATGCAGAAAGCACTGAAAGATAGAAAAGTTACTAAACCAAAATTAGTACGTAAAGGTACAAAGGATGCTCCTCCTGTTTACAAGTGGAAATATGAAAGGAAACGATAATATTGTATTTTATTTATATTTAGAACGTTCATTTTAATAAATGATATTTTTAAAACAATAAAATTTCTTCCCAATCAAGTTGTATTTTGTAAGAGATACCTTTCTATTTAATGTGCATTATTATTTAATCTACCAACTACTACATCATTTTAATTATCTAATCGATGTCCATAATTTCTGTAGTCGGTATCACTTCTACATCTCCTGGTACAGTAGTTTCCTCAGTTTCTGCTACAGTCTTCATGGACATCATTGTCGTAGTCATCGTCATTTGAATGCTAGACATTGTAGTTGTCATTCCAACGGTAGTTGTTGTAGGCATTGCAGTAGTTGCATTGGTCATTGATATTGTTGAATTACTCGGCATCATTGGTAACTCCGTTGATATGCTAATGCAATCGTAATTCAATTGCCACAGTCGTTTCTTGGAGGAGATATCCAATCGAAGGCAAGCTGTGATCGACCTTCGTGATATTCAAAAAAATTATGTAATTAAAAGGTGTTCATTTAGAAATTTTTATTCCAAATTGTCCCAAAGCGTTTCATACCTGGGAAATTTATTCAGTTCCAAAATATTCACGCAAGCAGACGAGAAGTAACATCCTGGTATATTGGTGCAAAACTTTAATGGTTTATAATCTGAAATAAAGAAGTAAAAATTCCAAAGCAACAATTTGATAACTGTTAAAACCAGGATAATCTTACTTGTAACTGTTCTGGCCTTTATAGTATCGGAGTTTAATGTCACGTCGATGTTTAAGCCGTTTCTCTGATAGGTAAAATTAACGCAAACTGTGCAAAACGAATAGTATAATTGAAGCAATAACTTAAAAAATGAAAATGAAGATATAAAGGTAACATACGATTCTTCTGAGATTGGGTGTATAAAATAAATACACTTTGGCAACAGGAACACGAATAAGACGTTGGACAGGTGCAATATTTCTGAAACGTCGAAACGGTTCTATATGCCAGGAACCCTTTTGCTACAGGAAACCCTAACACACAATTTTAAATCGTATAAATACGGTTGGATACGGCAAATAAAGATAGACACTAACTTTCTTCCGTGGCACCATCAGATCGTTGGAAGACCAAGTGCAAGCAAAACGAAATCAGGACACTGCACACTCTAGATTTCATACTTAGAATTTTTCAATATACTTTTTCGCTGTGGTACATTCACAATTCTACTACAGCTAAACTTTCCATCTCCTGTGATTCTACTGACCAACATCGACCATTAATGTTCCACTAAACAACGCTGATTCGAGTCGATGGTTGCTTCACAGGACGTAATTATTGAGGTATAATAAAAAACTAGCTACTGATTGCATCTATTTATTCGTTTTCCTTCCTCTGGCACACATATTATGCCCTTTAGCTATGTACATTCGTCTCTAAATGAAATTATCGTATAAAAACTAGTATCCATAAAAACTTTACAAGAATTTCTTCAGTAGAAAATAAATAACATTGGCTATCACTAAATTGTAGCACGTTCTTGTTAAGTATTTTCGCGCTTGTTACAAATAGAATCTTAGGTTTTCTCAGAAATCAAGCAAATCGTCGTCATCGTCATCGTCGTCGTCGTAATCATAATCGTCCTCATCCTCATCATCGTCGTCACCTGGCAAAAATTCTATTTGACCTAGTCCACCTCCATCCTCTGGCTTGACCAGAGCCAATCCGTTAGCGCCGAATCTGATGCAATCCAAACCAACCTGGAAATATATGAACATATGTATTATTCATAAAACGTGTCAAAGATGGCCGGTCCCTTTTTCTGGGTCACTGGATTTACACGGATTACCTTGAATATAGTGGTGTCTTGGAACTTCCCCTCCATGTTCAGGCACATGTGAATGTTTCTGCCTTGGAAGTATATGTCATAAAAGCGAGCACAAGCTTTGATAATTGGAAGTCGTGGCACTGGCACGCACACTGGTCTGGGATTCTTTCCTAAAATGTGGATCGTTTATAAAATTCGAGAAGAATAACATAATGAATTTTATTATCTTAAATGGCTCGATATCGATAAACCTACCAGACACTGTTCTCGTATACAAAACTCTATCATTCATCAAGATTTTCGCTGTGAAGCTAAATTCGTCGGGATCGTACGTCACGTTCACGCATGCCTTCTGTTTCCAGGTGTCGAATAAAATTCTAGAACAGCAACCGCAAAGACCTCCTCCGCATTGACAGGGACCTTGTCTGGTGACGGTCACCTGGCTGGTCGCGTTCGTGCTAGAATTCGTCGCTTGTTTCAGTAACTGCTGCAATTTCTTCAAGCTCAACTCTCTGTTCTTCGCTTGGGACAACGCATCCTTGCTCACAGAAATGTCTGACTGTTCTTCCGAATCGATGGCTCGCTCGTCGACCCACTGCATGGAACTTTGAACGCCGAGAATCGCGAAGACGAGCCACCAGAAAAATCTCATGATCACCGGTTCAGTTGCAACGAGAAGACATCTTCTTAGGATGCTCTTTGGCGAACGAACGAAACACAACTGGTCAGTTAACGGATATCTCGGTGTGACCTCGTTTTCTGGAGAAATTTAGCTTTGGCTACTCACCCGCATTTGATTTTCTATTGAATCCTCTACCGGTAATTCGGTTTAGGAGAAGAAACGACAACCGGACTGGCGATGAGCCGCGGGAGATTGAAAGTACAGGTAGGAAACATCGTTTACCTTGCTAATATATTTTTATTTGAAATACTAAGAGCCAATGAGACAATAACTAATAGATATAAATTTTGGTGCTACTAATGATAAAATTAATCGTGCAGTCCAGGTATTCGAGTTTCCGAAGTATCACCGTAAGAATCCATTCCTTTATAGTTGCGCGCAAGCGAAGTGTAGTTTTAGTACCGGAAGTGCTTTCACGTGGGTCTCCAAGTCGACGCAAGCGTGCAGACCATTTCCAGTGGTGTAGAGATCATGGAAACGAAGGCAGAGTTTCACAGCGGGGAAGTCAGGAATTGGTACGCACACAGCGGGTGGATTTCGCACTGTAATAATTGTAAAACAACTCTTGAAATGCAATTCTAATGTGCTAAAAGTGTAACGAGATAGAAATAAGATGAACAACATACCTGAAACGGAAGTTGCCCAGATCTGTTTTTGGTCTACTTTCAGTGAGGATCCAACACCAATGTCTTGTTTCAGATAGTTAATCGTGGCACAGATTTCCTTATCAAACTTAAGCTTCTTTACTCTGACACCTGTGCAGCAGGAACAAGCAAGGTTTGCACATTGACAGTTAGCCCCTTGAAACGAAACTAGTTTGGATGTGCCTACATCGTTAGGTTTTGTAATCTGGGTCGATGCAACTTGGGTTTTCCGGTTATAGTAAGTGCCGGCATATTCCGATGAATCTGTACATATGATACAAGTAGATTAGAACTTCAAAAGTAGCTATAACAATTGACTCTTTTAATATAAAATTAAAAAAAATAGATCAAAATTTATTCAAATATCGCGATAATTTATTTCGTAACCGTTATAAAAATTGTTGGCTGATAGAACTTCCCTCAATGACCAATAAATTTAATAACAAATATGAAAATTCACATTAACTAAAATTTATCAAACCAACAACTTTTATAACGATTATGAAATAAATTATTGCAATATTTGAATAGAAATTTCTTGCAGGCATTATTGCGATATGTACATGACTTCTTACCTTTTTAAGTATAGATATTAACTTGTAACACTTATCAAGAAGTCGAAATGTATTAACAGTTTTTATTAGTTATCTGATGTTACTTACCCGCTGCATCGCAGATGGCCTGTATTGCAAGAAGCACCAGGAAAATACTGAGAACTTTGCTCGCTATCATTTTGCAACTCGAAGATGAAGCTGGAGATCTTACAGTGATCGATCGATCTATCAGAAGACTGAAATTTAGATTTCACCGGCTCGTTATATTTGCAGACTTCATTAATTATGCATCAGAATACAATAGACAGCAAGATTGGTGGGGTCAACTAAGCGCTCCCTAACAATGTAACTTGTAACATTGTTCTGCACTTGTTCCACGTAAATTACCAGGAATTGTTATCAAAATTGTTAATAATTGATTGACATCAATGGCATAGAGAACAGAAACCTATAGATAATGTGCATTAAACAATACATTCAATTGACTAATTATATAAGTGTAGGTAATATAATTATAACTAATTACATAAAATGTTTGTTACCTTGTTCAAGCAATTTAGTATCTCTAATGTCGCAGACTACTCTTGACTATTCGTCTAACTAATTTCGATCTAGGCATTTTGAACGTTGTTTTTATAATTGTGGATATTTAAATGATAAAATAAAGTAAAAAGTTGAGGATAGAATAAAGGAAAAGGATAAACTGTGATAATCATCTTGATATAAATCGTGATAATTACTCGTGTGTGAGCGCTTTTTATTTAGAAGTACTTATATTATTTTTAAAGTGGCTACAAGTTTTGATAATTACTATTTATGGCACAGCCATCCAGACTGGTCTGAGAATATTTCCTAAAACGCGGAAGACTCATTTTATGATATGAAACGAGCAATCTAATGAATCCGTTTTATTTAAAAAAGTAGTTATTCCAGGAAATTCTTAATTTTTTGGAAACTCTGGGCTTGTCTGTTTACTCATATATGATTTTCTAGCGAATTTTCTACTGATAATAATTTAATTAAAGGCAGTTGGCATTCTTTGGGGTCGAAAAATCGAAATTTTCTTTTATATTTTTATTTGATAATAGACAATATTTGGAATCAGAATCTATAATTAATACAATTTTACGAATACTATAAATAGGCGAAAAATGTTCACAAAGTTGGGTCCAACGTATGGATTAATACAGGTAAGATTTTAGGAAAATTCGTTCCCTGTAAAATCCCCTTGTTTTTTCTCAGTAACCATTCGACCGATCAAGTTGAAATTTTGTGTGCTTTTGCTACTAAAGGTAATACGTATTTTACCCAAAGACTTTTTTGAAATTCGGCCTACAGCCATTTTAGCAGCATTTTCTAGAGTGAAGGTAAGAGTACAAAAAAGTTCATACATTGATAGGCTTGTATAATTCTTTTCTATCCGGTATTTCAAGATTTCATTTGACTAAAGTACACATCTAGTATGATATTAGATGCTTTAAAAATTTTAAGTTGATAACTGCAGTAGATTATGAGAAAAAGAAATATGAACATCGCAGAAAATGTCCACATTCCTTAAGGGGGTCGTATAAGGTAAATGGTAAATGGAGAAGAAATGACGTCTGAGGGGACAATGAATTACAGAATATTACGCACCTTCACTATAAAAATACAAAAAACATCGTATACTTGCTGAGGTACCTTTATTTTAACATCCCGCAATATAACAATGATATCATTAAAAACATAATACAATTAAATAAACGAATACCAACAAATTAATGCAATTAACTCTGGCACGACGGCAGTTTCTTTATACTTATCATAATTGTATCACTGAATTACAATTAAATGCTGAAGTGTACAGCTGAAATAATCAGAAATTTTGCTTCTTCCTCAGGTGTCAGCGAAGAAATATTTGCATTACCCTCATTTTTCATTTTTTCAATACCATTCCAGCTGCTACCTTTGCACGATACTTGTTCGATCTTCAAGTTCTCAGTCAGTGTAAAATGATAAAATTTCGTTCGCTTATATTTTCAGGCAATTGAAGTGCAATGCCAGGGTCGGTATTTTGGGTATTTGAGTTTCCACGTCGACGCAGACATTTAATTTGTTTGCAACAACGGCGAGGTCGCGGAAACGAACGCACAATTTCACAGAGGGTAAGTGAGGAATTGATACGCACAATGGAGGTGGAGTTTTCACTGAAAAAAATATTAAAACACCATTTGAAATATCATAATAATGTGAATGTAAAATGAATAACTCACCTGGGAAGGAAGTTGACAGGAGCTGTTTCTGGTTTAAGGACACTGCCGCTGTAATAGCATTAGTTTGTTGTACATAGTTGAACGAGGCACAGGCTTCCTCGTCGAAGTGGAACTTCTTTATCCTGATTCCTGTGCAGCAACTGCAACCTAGGTTCTGGCAACGACATGAGATACCTTTGAAGTTAATCTTATTCACATTTCCACCGTTGATTTCAGCAATCCCCTGCGATGGTTTGCTTGTCTTCTTGTCGTAGTAAGTATTGTAGTAGTCGGACAGATCTGTTACATAAAACAAATGGATTAATTATGACTCCAGTGCCTTAATAGGCAAAATTCGCTATTGGAATTTCTAATCCACATCGAACGCGCTGATAATTCCAAAAGTATTCAATAATTTAAACGAAGGGTTTATTATGCATACAGTAGTGTTTAAGTAGTACAGTAGAACCTCGATTATCCGAACTAATTCTGTTTAGAATGTTCGGATAATTGAACGTTCGGATAATCAAAGTTCTACTATAATAATTTGCATAGATCAATTAGTGAAACTTCAGCAAGCATCAAATTATTTATTCACAAGAAATATTCATCATCTATTTGATTTTACTTACTATCTGCAGAGGCGCAGATGTTCTGCACTGCGAGAAGCAGCAGGATTATGTTGACGGCTTTGGTCGACATCATTCTGAGACAGTAAAGAGGTAGCTGAAGATCCGTCCGTAACTGACCGATTTTCCCTGATAACTGAAATTGCGCTGCGATCGGCTATTATATTTCCACGCTAATTATGCATAAGTTATCAATTGAAAGTAGGATTGGTGGGATCAATGGAGCCCTACGTAATGACACTTGTAATGCTGCTGCGCAATTGTGCCACTTGGAGTACATACTGTTTTCAACATCACTGGCAATTAGTTCGATCGGTAACAAGGTCATAGAAAATTGAAATCGATAGATATTGTGAAAAAAAATATATTTATCTAACATGTTTGATTATAAATTGACGTACATGATAGCCACTTGTGTCTGAACACATTATTTGCCGCTCACAAATTAAATGGATAAGCGTTATCACTTTTTAACTTAATAGCAATTAAAAGATTAAAAGAGAAGTATCTCTTACTTGATACCACCACGTTAAGTGGTTTAAATCCATCTTTTTATTTATTTTTCTTGCCTACAAATAGATACATATTATATACATTCATCTGTAAACACAATTATTACAGAAAAACTTGAAATCATCAAAATTCTATCATAATTATGCTCTTATTAAGTACATTCACGCTGGCCAGGAAAAGAATCTGAAATATCCTCAGATATCAAGAAAGTCCTCCTCATCGTCGTCGTAATTATAGTCGTCCTCATCCTGGTCATCGTTACCACCTGACAAAAATTGTATTTGACCCAGTCCACCTCCATCTTCCGGTTTGATCATAGCCAGTCCGTCAGCACCGAATCTGATACAGTCCAAACCAACCTAGAGATAAATGTGTGTACGCATGCATTATTCATAAAACATGTTAAAGATGGTCGGTTCGTTCTTCTGGATCAATGGATTTACGTGGCTTACTTTAAACACGGTGATATCTTGAAATTTCCCTTCCATGTTTAAACACATGTGAATGTTCCTACCAAGAAAGTAGATGTTGTAAAAGCGAGCACAGGCTTTGACAATCGGAAGTCGTGGCACCGACACGCACACTGGCTTGGGATTTTTTCCTAAAATGTAGAACGCGTTAAGATATACCAAACAGTTTCACATAGATAAACTTACCAGACACCGTTCTGGTGAACAATACCCTATCGTTCATCATGATTTTCGCGGTGAAGCTGAACTCGTCGGGATCGTACGTCACATCCACGCAAGCCTTTTGCTTCCAGGTTTCGAATAAAATTCTGGAACAGCAATTGCAAACACCTCCTGCGCATTCACAAGGACCTTGTCTGGTGACTGTCACCTGTCTGGTCGCGTTCGAGCTAGAATTCGACGCTTTCTTCAACAACTCCTGCAACTTCTTCATGCTCGAGTCTCTGTTCTTCGCTCGGGACAGCGGATCCTTGCTCGCGGAAATCCGAGACTGTTCTTTCGAAACAATGCCTCTCTTGGCCCACGTGGAGGGTTGAATACAAAGAATCGCGAAGACAAGTAACCACAGGATCCTCATTTTTCGTGGTTGGTCACGGGTTCAGTTACGACGAGAGGACATCTTCGTAGGATGCTCCTTGGTGGACGATCGAAACTCGACTGGTCAGTTAGTGGATATCTCGGTGTGACCTCGTTTTCCGGAGAAATTTTGCTTTGGCTGCTCACCCGCATCTGATTTTCTACTGAATCCTTTACCAGCGATTCGATTAAGGGTTCAGATACATATAAAGAGCCTAAATACCAAACGATAAACAGGGAACAAGTTGTGGAAGATACAAATACAAATAAAGGGTATCGTTCAAGAAATAGTTTTTATTTTAAGTATATTATTAACTATACATTAGTTTACATTTAAGTAGTTCTACATCCTCTAACGTGTTACTAATAATTTAACTAGCTACATGAAACAATTGCATATTTCAATAATTGCATATTCAGCTACAGTGATCATAATTTTAACTGCCCAATTTGGTCCTCTTCCTCAGGCGACTGTGTGGAGGAACTGTTCTCGTGCGACTCCTGATCTTCCGGTTCGAAGTTCACGTCGTCGTACACTTCCGTTTGGTTATTTAAAAGCTGATTTTGCACGATGTTCACGGTGTTTGTGCTACCAGGATATCCCCACGAGAGTCCATCCAATCCTACTTGCACGCAATTGAAGTGCAATACAAGGACAGGTGCATTGGCGATTCGAGTCTCCACGTCGACGCAAGCGTGAAGATTCTTTCTAACGGTGTAGATATCGAAGACACGAACGCAGATGGTCACAAATGGTAATTTAGGGAGCGAGACGCACAAAGGTGGTGGATTTTTACCTATAAAAATTTAGAACTCTCGTTAAAATACAATTCAACTCCTCGAGTCGGTAATTATGCATCGGAAAAATTTCTGACACAGACTTATATATGGCAGATAAGATTAACTTACCTGAAATGGTGCTTGAAACGAGTTCTCTCTGGTTTAAGCTCAACGATGTCTTAATAGCAAAATCTTCCGGTATGTAGGCAAGCGTTGTGCATGATTGTTGATCGATCTTGAATAACGTTTCATTTAAACCTGTACAACAGCGACAGACCAGTTTTTTACACTCACAGGAGATACCTTGGAACGTAATCTGTCCCAGTGGATTTTTGACGTTGGTTTCTATCGCTCCTTTTAGTGCGAGGCCGGTTTTTGGATCGTAGTACACCGAATTTAGTAAACCTATATCTGTGTGCGTGAAGCAAGATTTTATTATCTTAAATATCAGGGTAATTATCGATTTACAATTTATACTATAAATTAAAACATAGAAATATTCAATTTTATTAAAAAAATTGATGAAATACGTTTATTACCTATTTGTTTTTTAAGAGGAATTATAGCATCGCCGATGTGCGCCACGAAGAGCAGCACGAAGAGTCCGAAAATTTTGGCTGACATGATTGTGCGACACCGAAGAGGCAGAGGAAAGTTGATCCGTCGTCGATCGGTTCTGCCCGAAGACTGAATTGGGTTGCGATCGCACCGTACTATTTCATTTCCGCGTTTCATTAATTATGCATACACCTTCAATAGAAAGCAAATTTGGTGGGATCAATAGGGCCCTGTGTAATGACACTTGCAGCGCTGTTTGTACACTTGTGCTATTTGGAGTACAAACAAAACTGTTTTCAAGATCGTCAACAATTATGGTAATTCGATTGATGAGAATGTCACAAAAAGTCGAAATTACTCGAATTATGAATTCCATTCCGGAACTTCCGTCATAAGTCGAGTTTCACACATAATGCGTTCTTATATCTTTTGTGTTTTAATTTAATGAATTGCGAATGGTTTAATATTTGTACAGTTTCAGATAAACTCAATGACAGGAAGGTATACACTGGGATAATAACTTCCAAAAAATTATGGGCAGTATTATTTATGAATAATTTTGTAAAATTGCATAGCCTTCCTTGGTCATGTCAACAGCAATTGACCACTTCAAAATATTGCATCCGATTGCATTTCTCGATTGTTGCCTCGCGTATGACGTAAAAAATGCATCGCATTACGAGATTGCAATAAAACTCGAGGAATACATACTTGTACTGATGAGAGAACACGTTTATTTGATATGTTAATTACAGGTTCAATAAATTAATTAAATAAGTACACATAAATAAATAGATGCCTGCCTTAAATAACATTAAACTATTCGAGCAATTTGATATGGCTAAGGTCGTGGATAACCCCTGGTTATTCGTCCTATCATTTTCGACCCTCGTTCCAGCATTTCGAATGATATTTAACACACGTTTACTTTTTCAGTAGAAAAGGCTATGAATAGTCAGACAGATTATAATTGCAATCACTCAAGATACAATTATTCTATTCCCTAAATTTAACTTTCCACTTGCTAATGTAATTTTAACGCCGTGCAAAAATTTCTTTTAATTATTCAAAAACAACGAACGTGTTAAATAACAAAAGAAAAGAAAAGTTATCAGTCTCCATGATGCGTAGTTTGGTCATTGTTGGTTTAACCAAGTCGTTCGATAACATTAAGAGAATATTTTGAATAATTCAAAAAAATCTCGTTTCGCAGGATCCAATTGCTGACACGGGGGACTTTCACGAAATTCAAAGCCTCATCACTTTGCTTTGACGACTGCTCTTCGAGTGCCTACTTCTGGCAAGCAGTCCAGAAAGGCCCATTTCGTAATCCAAATCGTCGTCTTCCGTTTCCGATGACTGAGTATGCTTCTTAACTTTGCCTTTCTTTTTACCATCCTCCTTCTCGTCGTACACGAGCGCGCTAATCACAGCATCCTCCTCATCGTCATCGTCGTCCAATTCTTCGACTTCAGTCTTCTCATCTTCGTCCTCGTTACTCTCGTGTTCAGTCTCTTCGACTTTCTCGTCGTCATCTTCTTCGCTATATTTCTCGTCCTCGTCATCGTCATCCAGAAGCTCTTCTTCTTCGTCGTCGTCATCGTCCAGATCGTCTCCTAAAATATCATCGTCATCATCGTCGTCGTCTCCCTTCACAGGTTTCTTCTTCAGAGGCTTCTTCTTCTCGTTCGTCCCGCTTTGGATCGCGTTTATGCTGCTGCTAGTTACGGTGGGTTTCTTCTTGTTCGCCGCCGGTGCCGTGAACTTCTTCGTTGGTAGTTTGTCCGGTTTTGCATAGGAAGCAATCTTGTTCGAGGATTCTGTGACAATTTCATCGCTGCCCGTCGTATCAACGGATGCTGATTCGTAGTCTTCCTCACCGCTTCCTTCTTCAGCAGACAATTCTTGATTATATTCGTTCTGTTCTTCGGAATTGCTGACACCAGTCTCGTTACTTTCTTCCGTGGAGGCATCGTAAGATTCTATGAAAGGCGCAGTCGTCGGTTTCGTTAGAAGAGGAATTGTGAACTGGAGGAGAGGCGGGGCAGTGGTCACTTTAGGTTTCTTCGTCGTGCTTTCATCCTCGCCAGTTATTATATCGAGGAGGGCTCCAAAGCCGAGGATATCCTCGTCCTCCTCTTCGTCTTCCTCTTCTTCAGGCGAAGAATTCGGTACGGAGTTGGCTAACGGTGAGATTCCCTCGTTATCCTCCTCGTCGTCGTCGTCGTCCGAACCTAGACCGAAGAAGTCGTCGTCGTCCTCTTCCTCCGGTACTTCGGCTTCGACGACCGGAAGAGGTTCCGCTGGACGCAACTTCAGACCATCGGGACCAAATCTGAAAGAGTTACGATGAAGAAACAATTTCTTTCCGTTGAAAACGTTTCCACGAAACGTTTCGTTTCGTTGAAATAAGTTTTTTAAGGCAACAATTGTTACCTGAAGCAGCTAACTCGTAAGCTAGCTTCAAGCTCCGTCGCTGATTGTAATTCCAACCCAAGACAGGCCTTGAAGTGATTGTCAACATCTCGTTTAATAGAATAGATTCTACCACAGAATTTCGTAAAGCCTCCTGGTAACGGGACGCATACGGGCTTTGGATTCTTTCCTGAAAGGAATCGAGTTTGTTATTAATCAGCCGCGTAAGTCAGACGCTGAAGAAGGTGTTACTCTGTTGAATCGTATAATGTATGCGGGACTTTCACTCGTAAATCGACCCAGCGACAGTTATGAATGTTTTAACCCTGATCTGGCACCCGATTTTCAATGGACTCGTTCTCGCGGAGAAATTTTCAAACGGTATAGTTGACGTTTTTATTGATAATTACCATTTACAATGGTGCTGGTCAAAATGTTGTCACCAAAGCTAAGCTGAACCGCCAAATTATCTTCTTGCAAGTATTGCAAGGATGCGCATCCTGAAACGAGTAACATAATTGTTCATTTCTCTGACGTGTCTTTTTTAATGGTTGCGTTTAATTAGGTTACACAATGCTTACCTGGTCCCTGTAATTGCACCAACGGTATATGAAAGTCTCTGCAGCAGTTGCATATGTTCTCGTTACAGGTGCAATATCTATTGACATCGTCCGTTGCCTGTTTCAATGACAATGTCGATATTCCAAGGTGACTTTGCTTCGATCCATTGACTTCTTTGATCGCTCGCCCTTTCACATGTTCGTCTCGTTCTACGAAACAATTTTCTCTCTATTAGAAACTTCCTCCTTCGCGAAGGATAAATCATCGAAGCTCGTCGTTTGAAAACTCTGTTATTATTTCGTAAAGTAGGAAATTCGAAATAGCTGCGTTAGGAAAAAAAAAAAAAGATAGCGAATCGGCTCAATTTTTAAGTGTCGCCTTAGAAACCGTACCGCTCATCAACGTCAATCCTTCAATCAACGCTTCCTCGTCGCGAAGGAAACTGTCGTTCACGACCAGTTACCGGTCCATTACAAGAAATTTACGTTAAAAGCGTGATAAAAGTCGAAAAAATTCTTACCGATCACTCGGCCGTAAGCGGCGAACGCGACCAGAAGAAGAATCAGCAACAACTCGACCACCGTCGACAGCCGCATCCTCCTGTTCGTTCTGAAACGCAACGTTGAACCAACCGGTGAATCTTCAAGTACTAATATGTATATGTTCTCTGAATGTATGCAGGGACACGCGTGATTTCACGAACTGACGTTCATACGATCTTTCTTTGCCACTAGAATTCGGCGGCGCACAAAGAAGCAACGTTAAACGAGAGCATATTGAAATTCAACGCATCGCGTCGTTATCGTTTATCTCGCGGATTTCGCGTGCTTTCAAACAGACGCGTACTCCACCGTTCGGCGAGATCAAGTTTAGCTTTGCTTACGAATATCCGTAGAGAAAAATCGAGTCTGGACGACAGGAAAACTAACGGAACGCGCGGTTGTCACGCAGCCAGAACCGGCGGATGTTGAACTCCGCGAACAATGAGTTGTTCACGCTCGTTAACGGCTCGCGAAAGGGTGAAACCCGGTTGATTTTCGAGCGAGCAATCGTTTCCAACAGCGACCACGTGGGAGTAACGACTTTTTCTTCGCTTTCTACCGACAGACTCCGCGCCAGCTCTGGAATCTCTCGTCTGCGACTGGCTGACCTAAATCTCGGTCACGGTCAAAGACGTCTCTCCCGAGGAGTTCACCGTTCCTCGACCACGCGATTCAGGAAGCACACGCGCTTCCACGCTGATACGTGCCTCCATCCTGTGTTTATGCTCGCCATTATACCGACACGTCCCGAGGAACGGTGATCGGTACGCTCTGGTATGCTCGTTCGAATTGTTCTTCTAATCGAACTTATAGACGACGGTGTTACGAGGAAATAGCGTGGGTGTTTTTTTAAAATCAACCTCGAAGACTTTAGTACAGAGAGTAAAGGTAAATGAGCTACCTGCTTGAAAACTGCATCAATGTAGAAGCGTCAAAGAGAGCGACTGTGATCAACAAATCAGTTTGAACTGACCTGTGCGACGAAGAAGATAAAGTTCCTGGTAAAACGATTCAAGTTGATCCTCGATGATGGACGTTTTTCCTCGTCGCACCCTTCGGTTGTTTTTTCCGACTCTTCGTCTTACGGAGGCCAATGTCTAACTGAAGATGCCGCCCAACTCCCCCCAAGGTTTCTTTAAAAGTCGGTCAAGCCACCACCACCAACCTCTCGACCGACGGCTAAGATTATTAAGCATTCTAATACGCTCTAGGTAAATAAGACGAGCATTCTCCCACCACCCTTGATTTTGCTTAAACCTCGGGAGCAAGACTTCCTAGATGCTATTCCAGACGACGAAAGCTGTACGGAAGTGGATTTTCGTTTTTGCCTTGAACCGGTACTCAGGTTCAAGTACGTCCCGCTACCAGTTTCGATTCTCAATGGAACATTTACTCTCGAACTGTATCGCGATGATTCACTTGTCGCTAGAGTCACGAGGAATGCGAGATAAGAAAAGAGAAGATACTTTTACCTTTGCTACGCTCGAGACTTCTAGCCGTGATAAAAATGAAGGAAAATTCTGTCTTCCCACGATGTCCGAATAATTTGAATAATTGGAAAATGTAACAGGTTTCTAGATCATATCCACGACTCGGTTAATTACACACACTTCGATCGTAGCGTTCTAATAACCAGTCCCACTTCACAGCAATTTCTATCGCCATATAGCCCCATGGTCGCGAAGTGTCCACGATGCATCCGCAATGAGCCGTGCCGGAAATTCTTCATTCATCCAACGTGCAACTCGCTTTTACGTCCACGTTACAATTAACGCGGACTTTTCACCGACCTTCAAACTGGTCGTTGGTCCCGTATGCAACTATCGAACTAGGTCCGACCTTAACGCATTGAATGCCGCAGTGAAAACAACCGCGTGCATATAATTGTACGCTGTAATTGTAGTTATTCAGGGCAATTTTAAATTAGGCCAAGGTGTTCTAACTCGATCAAAAGAATAATGACTTCAAAAAAGGCTTTATGGGAAAAATTTTGGAAACCTGAAAAGGGATTAAATTTTTTTAATACTTTCTAAGGGTTAATATACAGTAGACTCCCGTATATGTATATTAAATATATAATGTCGATCATCGATTTGACCTCCACTTCCATTGTTTGCGAAATTTCCCCGAAACGAAGGCAAACAAACACGTTCGTCGGATGAGATCCTCAAAGTCTCCAGGCTGTCGCGTGTTTTGGTGGTTAAAGGGGGGCCTTTCTCCGGTTAGTGGGTCGAAGAAAGTAGTGGTCAGGAGTGGTTTACCTTGGTTAATACTTGCCTGACAGGATGAAGGTTCCACAATGGAATTCAGGCGTCCGAAGGGTCGTGGAAGGCTGGACAATTACCGTCGATGATGCACGGTGTATTTTAAGATAACGCGATACCCTGGCGATTCTAAATAATCTGACCAGATAAATGACGAAGAGGATGTGGGTCAGCAAGGGAAACGAGTTTTTACGTAACATCGCAGAATCGTTTGTTTGGGAGGTTCCGTTTCGGAGCTGTAATCCAAATTGAACGCGAAATAAATCGAGGATCGATCCAGGGTCTTTAGTAAATCGTTCCTTTCAATCGTTGCGCTCGTCGTACCGTGAAAATAACGATCTCCGAGTAAATTATATAACGTTTTCAGATCTTGTCGACAATAATTATTCTGAAACAGTATGTTTTGCCAAGTGTCCAAGCGTAACGATTCTCTGTTGCGGCCGTCCGACCAAGCGTACGTTTTTCCTTCCCTTTCAAGATTTTCATGCCGTGATTAGAAAGAAAAATGAAGGTATTTGATGTGTTTGATGAAAATATAATTGCCGGTTGAGGCTAACAGGAAACGAAGAAAAAAGTTTCGTGCCGAACACGCTCAGCTCTTGTATATATTACTGTCATTACGTCTTACGAGCATTACGCTTTTTTTCTTCTTTTTAACATTCGTTTCTTGTAGTCAGAAATTAGCTCAGAAATAAAATTTTTCAAAATGTAATATTACTGTTTCATTAACTTTTTCATTAAATGAACGAAGAATGTTAGCCGTTGATGCCTGGATAACAGAATAAACATCACGCTCTAGACCACGAGCTATTTAAAAAAAACCTCCACGTTCTCCTATTTTGTTAATCAAATACATCTACGTAATACCATCAGTAAATTTTCACTTTTACCAGAAACAAAATTACACCGATACGAAAGGAGGAAAAAAAGAAGGAAAAACCTTCTGGATCGTTGAAGCGATGAAAATAACGGTCGAAAAAGAAGAAAAAAAGAAAGAAAAAGAAATTGCTTTTACTTGCGTGTTCGAAACGGTACAGTCGTCATCGAAAAAAAAAAAAAAAAAAGAAGATCAGCGCCTTTTTGTCGGATCCATGGGCAGAGCGGAGCATAGATAGGACGGTCGTGTAAGTCCTCTTGGTACCAGGTTGCCGAAGGAGGTCACCCGGTCACCCAGATGAGGTTCCTTGCCCGTTGTTACCTCCGCACCTCGGCCAATGGCGTGGCACCTCATCGTCGCCGTGGCCAATCCTGTCGCCAGTTTTCGTGCCGACCGCCAACCGATCGTCGATCCGAGACCCGCGGCCGGCTTTGTGGCCAGATTTAAGCTTCTTCCTTGCCGGTCAGGATCTCCAGCTTCTTCAACGTGCGTATATCCTTTTTGACAGTTTTCCAACCGGCAGTGTCTCGATCGACGCGTTCAGCCTAGCTCTGCTCAGCGAGGATTTTTCATTCGAAAGAAACGAAAAAAAGGAAAAGAAAGACGGGAACAACGCGATGAGGTGCACGATCCTGGTGTTGCTGACCACCGCCGTCGCCCTGGTGTCTTCCGCTGGATTGCTCGGTGAGCAGATCAGTTACGCTCCCGTTGGAAAACGTTTCTCAAGCTTTTTTCCAGCATCCCTCTGTCACGACACGCACAGCGTGTTTAACGAAACACGGATTCGAAGCTTTAACACTGGTCAGGATAGTTCTTGGTGCGTGGATAAACAAATGCGCATACTAACCGTGATCTCCCTTCTTCGAAGATGTCACGATTTTTGACAGGACTCCTCGTGGAAACCATGTTTGTGATCTTCATTATGATAGTTTACATTTCGTTGCTGTATTCGTTAGTGAATTCTTCGATCTTTAACGAGTAAGTCTGTTCATTTCTTTTTTTTTTTTTCCACCTTCGAACGACAAAGCTTCGAATCGTAACGCGTCCCAGTAACGACGAGAAAGTTGGTGGATGGACATCTTTCTGACTCATCGACGCGTGGCACACTTACCAAACGGTAACCGAGTTTTGTTTACCGTTCGATCACGGGGAACGTAGTTTTTCGGGGAACGAAACGGTGCCAGGTCCGTCGAGAGAAAACTCGAGAACCGATGGAAATCGGCGCGCCATATTTTTTCCTATTGACTTTCGTTCGACGACTTTCGTTTCGTTCCAATTTCTCTTCCTCGAGTTTCTCTCACGCGTATTTGGATTTTTTTTTTTTTTCATTGCCGACAGAGACCCTGCTCTCCTGGGAACTGCCGGATGCCGTGGGCAGATCGACCGCTCCTCAGTCGCAATGCTTGTGTCAAACCTCGAATTGTTTGTGCTGCGTCGATCTGAATCTGACGGCGACCATCGATCTCGGAGGTCCTGCTTGCATCAACGTCAAACAGAAGGAACAGAACGTCTCGTTGAACCTGAGCTACGGTGACAATCCAGTGCACAATGCCACCATCAGGATCGGTGAGCATCGAATTCTCCAAAAATAAACTGAAGGTGGTTATTGTAATTGAAAAATTGCGAACATTTTTACAGCTGACGCGGCGAACAGACCAACCTGCATGAATCTACTGTCGGATCTGGCGCAGATATGCGCGAAATTCACGTCGATGAAGCAGGCGGAGGCTGGATACGATGGTTGTCTGGTGATCGAGCCAGCTTTACTGGGAACACCCCAAGCCACCTATCCCATGGGATGCTTCAATTTCAACCAAGTGGTGCGCCAGGTTGAAGCTTCTGCGTGAGTACGATCCTGAAGTTTTGTATCACTTCATACTTATACTTCATTTTTGATTTTATCACTCTTCGATTTATCTCTATCGAACGATGCGTTATTTAGAATTTATCGATCAGTGATTTTGTAGCGTAAATAAAGGTCCTCGAGTATAATCCTATTATGTTTATGTTTTCAATCTACTTTGTTCACTATACAGTTCAATTTTCCTCCATTAACGCAATCTTCCTCTAAATCTAATAAGTGTCTCCATTATTTCTTGCAGATTAATAATCGAATTATTCTGACCGAGTTATCGTTTAAAACCGTTAATTCGTTTATGCTTCACTTTCCTCGCAGCATCATCGAGACGACAGAGGCGACGGACAGTTCCGAAGAGGAGGATGACTCTCTGAACACCGACGAGCTGATCGCGGCGGTGTCAGCCAGCGCGGAGCAGGGTATAGCTTTGTTTTCTCAATGGCTGGGTCTCAATTTGAATCCGAAACTAAATTTGACCAGCAAGAACAACAATCAAGAGACCAATCAACGAGCAATTCCGTCCACGACCTCCAGGTCCGCTCGAGCTCAATGGGATCAAGAAGAGAAGAACGACGAACGATTCAAACAGTTGCTCAGCGCACAGGATAATATCCTGAAGGGTTCGGCTATGATCGGCCAATCGAACGGTGCTGAAACCACGTTCGTTTATTCGAAACCCCCCGAGCTATTGTCTGAGAAAATCTCGGACGGGAGGAGGGTCGATGAAATGAAAATCGCCCCTCAACACCTGGCCGTGGTACCGAAAGAGTCTAGACGAGGCGGTAGAGCGTACAACATTCATCAACACGTAAATGAAATTTGAAAAGAATAATTTTTCATTCGACAAGACGAGGGTGAAAGTTATAATTTCGTAGAGTTTAGGATATCGCACGTAGACTGTACACGATCATTTAGGTCAAGAGCTATCGTTCTTTTTTCCCCAGTATTTTATCCTCCCTTGCAATTTTAAATCGTGCAAAAGAAGATTAAAAAATATATTTTTGTATATTTCGTTTTTCTAAGCAAGGTTTCTGGATCTGCTCCCATCTTCTTCATACTATTAATTCGATCAATAATCCTTCGAATTTCGACGAATGATTCTAAAATATCGTTCGTTCATTTCTAGTAGGCTGAATCGATCATTTCTCTGATCAGCCCTGTCAGAATGATCTCTCTCGTAATTGTGATCGTCTTTCTCTTCTTGTCTTCGCGAAGATTTGATTTTATTCGATGCATCATCAGCGGTTGTTCTACCTTTACGCGAACCAAGTGAACGTAGGATTATACATTGTAAAAGTAACATACAGTTTGAAAAGAAATGGTAAACTCGCGTCCATTATGCGAAATATTTATTTGTTTTTTTTCGACCCCGCATAGTAAATAGAAAATACAGCAACGTTTCTTCGAGTAGTTCGTATGCATGCGACAACATCGACGGTAAAACATGTATAAACGTTGTCGAGCGACAAAGATGGTTGTTGTTCTTTTTTTTTTTTGTTTAATAAAAAAATAATCGTACTACCTATTCGCGTGTACAGACACGTATATAATGTACGCACGTGTACGTAGATGATCGGACAGAATGAATTCAAGTGATCGATACCATTGTTCATCGATCGGGTAAATTGAAGAAAAATCAATCGCTGATAATTATCGTCAGGGTAAATTTTGTAATCGCATTTTTGTAACCGGGACCAATTTAATAAAACCAAAAAGAAACGTTCATCCTGTCCTTTTTCTCTTGTACACGTTAATTAATTCTAACTTAATCAACCCTTGTGTTAATAATCAAGTAGCTGTTTTCAGAATTCACGTTCCTCTTGCAATATTCCAAAATGCAATTTCATGTGTTGTGTTCATATTAAGTAGTACGTTTGGGGTATCTGAGTACCCCATATAAACATTTTTATTATTAACACATGGGTCAATGTCGTTTTGATCCCTGGAAGACGAAAAAAGTTTGCTGCCAACGTGTTCGTTCGCGATTTCTCGATGCTTTTAAATAAAAATCATTTTCTCCACTGTCGGGAAGCGTCGACACCTTAAGAATCTAATTAATCGTTTACACGTTGGCTTTGTTACGCCTTGAAAAAGACAATATAAGAAATATATGATCATATGTATATCACCGTATATATATATATATTTTTTTTTCTTTTTCTCGTTTATCTTCCCGATATCAATAACTATAAAGGTGAAAATAAAAATAGAAAGAAATAATGGAAAAGAGTTTGTTATCGAATGAAAATATTACAGATGGACTAGATACTAATAACATTTCTCGCTTGAAAATAAACGCGTCTCGTTTGATCCGTCAAAATATATGTTCGTATATTTCTATATAAGTTCTATAGATATGCGTTTCACCGTTTACACGTCTCTCATTCTTGTCGATAGTAAAAAATATTTTTGGGCTTCATCTTTGGGCGATCATCGTTACTCTACGTGTATATAGTTAAAAAATAATACGATCCTCGTTCGCGATTATTGTTACAGCGCGTTCCCTCGTTTCAGGCCATTCGAATTGCAGCTTCGTTCGCATAAATAAATCGTCGTCAGGTAATTATTAAGTTAGAGGTGAATTAATCTTTGATTCTCCCTCTATTCGCGTTTAACATGACATTTTATAACATCGAGATCTTATCGGGGACAAAGTACCGATATCAATTTCGAAAAACAAAATACATTCTCTGTTTTTGAAAAGCGATACCAGAAAGAGTACGAAAGCTAGAGCCTTACAGACAGCTTTTTGATGCCAATAATAGTAGCGATTATTGAGAACGATTAAAAGTTATCGATAGATACAATTGGTACATCAATTATTAGGATACGAATATTATAATAGGAATATATGGCTACGTGTTATCCTTGCGATCGTTGAAATCAGCAAATAATGAAAATTTCCCTCGAATCAAAGCATTTTTGACAAGTGTAACTCCCGAAATAAGGGGCTTATTCAACGAATCTTGAAGCTGCTAAAACGCATAAACATAAATTCCCGTCGTATTAACCCATTTGCATCTGATCATCAAGATGAAAAATAATCCAGTAAAGGATCAAGCTGCGTGTACGAAATGATCTGTTGATCAATGTAAATGGATTAAAGAGCAGTCTATCTCTAAAACGCGCGTATACGATCACAAAACTGGAAGCATCGTGAGAAAACAACCAACAGTAGCTGATCCAGAGCTCGTTTTGCGGCACGAGTTCAACGCAGTCTCGCTCTTATTATTGCCAGCAATAATAAACGACATATTGCCTACAGGAACGGGAAGCATCTGCGTGGCACATGCTATTGTCCGTCTAAAAGTCGAGACTTCGGTGTTCGCGGTCGCGTTTCAAGCGGCTTTCTGCTGAACGGAAACGTAACGTGTTCGCGCGGAATGTAAAATAACCAAGAGATCATCGACGGTTCACTTGACTTGTTGACGAGTCGTCGGAACGACGGGCGGCAACGTCAACGAATCCCTTTTCTTCTTGTTCACGCGACGTCCGACGTGCAGCACCACGTCACCAGCTTTCACGGACTTGAATTCAGCGATCGCCTCGGCGTGCGTCATACCGTGAAGAGGTTTCGAATTTATCGACAAAATTTCGTCCCCTATAAAAGTATTTTAGTTAAGTGACAAATTAATATTTTGGTTATTCATAACAGTACCTACGATCTTGAATTTTTATTAAAATAATGTACCTTCTTTGACAGTTCCAAGATCGGCAGCTTGGCCATTAGGGAAGACCGTCTTCACGTAGATCCCCATGTTCCCTCGCGGACTGTCTGTACCGCCAACGATACTGAAACCGAGCCCTTTGTGTCCAGGACCCTTGAGAAATCTGGCCGTCAGTATCGTGAATGACGCGCCACCCTTGCCTGGCCTCGGTAGGGTGCAGAATTTCGACTCTTCACCCTCGCCAGCCTCGTCGATGTCTTCGAGTTCGGAGTCGGTATTCAGGCCTTCGTCCGTGTCTTGTGTGCCCTGAAAAGCGGACGGAATCTTTTCAACCTTCTATAGAAACAGAACGTATTCACGTAACAATCTTCTGCGATACTCACTTGCCAGGTCTTCAAGCAAGAACCGGAGGAACTAGGAATATTGGCGACGCTTCTGCTGTTCAGTCTTCTCGTTGTCTTTTTACCGGGACTCTTCTCAGCGCCCAAACTGGACGGGCCGTCTTCCTTGTTCGCGCAGCACCCGTTCGAATAATTGTTCACTTGTCCGCCAACCTTAAAATCCGTCAGCCTCTTTCTAGGAGTCACTCTAGGTATGTGAATCTCCTCGAACGACGGCTCCGACTGGTTTCTACCCTTCGCGTTCTTCTGATAGTGAACATTTTCGTACGAATGGGGGTCCCTCGTCTCCGAATTGCTCCTCGCTAGATGCCTGTCCGGATTCGGAGTGACCGATGACGTCAGCTCCGACCTGTGACCCCTCTGGAAGCGCACATTTTCGTACGAGTGATCGTGGTGTCTACAGGTGTCACGGTTCTCGGAATTACTGCGTTGCAGTACGCCCCTGGACCTTGGACAACAACCTGGAGGCGAGCCAGTGAACAACACGTTCTCGTACGCGTCCTCTTGGCTTTGATTGTGACTCAACACCGGAGAATCGTAGGCGCTGCTACTCTGCGAATACGTGAATGTCTTGTTGCTGCTGGTCAACGGGCTACTGCAGTTCGGTGAATTGGGCACGCTACCCTCTGCGAGAGTTTCGAGGTTGTCGTGGAAAGGATAAGGTGGTAGGGATGCTGGTTCGCTGGAGTCGTAGCACTCGCCATTGAAATTCTGGCTGGTTGATGAAGTTAAGGGACTGGGTACGTAGAAGTTTGACGCGGTGTCCTTTTGCGAAAACACCTCCGTTACGCTGAGAGCCTTTCTCTTTCGAATACCAGCATTGATCTTGCTGAATTTGCTTCGTAGAACGTGTTGGATGTCGGCGATGCCCTTAGTGGTACCTAAAGAACAATTGTACGATTTTTATTTTGTCTTTGAAGAAATATTTTGGGTGATTAAAGGAGAATAATTACCTGGCAGTCTCAGAGAGCTAGTCTGCAATAACTTTTTTGGTGAATTACCATCCTGAAGACTCTTGGCAGCTGGGGATGATTCTCTGCTAGCCGGACTGGACCGTACGGCTTGAATAACCCCCTGGGTCGTACCGCCTTGTATCAGTGCTTCCTGCGGCTCCGAGGTTTCCTGCACGGAACACCTTCTTCTTAGTTTCCTCCATCGTTGACTGATGCTCTTGTTCCATAGATTCAAGTCTGGAATACAGAGGAGCAAAAAATTCCGGATGACTACCAGTGACAGGATGTCCTATCTCGTGACACCTGGCTATTTCCAACCTCATCAAAGAAGCAACACGACCAGAGACATCCTACTCCGAAAAACAGCATGAAAAAAAAAAGAAACAGAAACCTTGCTTCCTAATCATCAGGCCTTAACGACAGGAAACACTTATCTATTCTCTGTCCGAGGTAAAACGATGTGTTGTTGTTTACCGAAGATAAAATCGGACCTCGAAGGAAGAAGAAAATACGTCGAAGATTGTATTAATAATGATAAGTGATAAAATACGAGGAATCTTCTTATCAGAAACACGTTAAGAACAGAGAATTGGAATGAAATTTTGTATACGTCTAATTACAATTCAATATAGTCGACATGGTGTTGATCCTCGGAGATCCACGTGGCGACGATCGTATCCTGTTCCTTTCACCGATTCCTCGAAGGGTCCTGACCCTTCGACTTCCTCTTCCTTTTCCAGGGGTAACTTTAATGACCTTGAGCAAGGCACGCGCATAACCAACGACTCGATGTTTCTTTCAACGAAAGAGGAAAGTCAAAGTCATGAATTATTAATGGAGAGCGATGACGAGCGTGGTCGTGGGGTCACTGAGCTTACACGTAACGTTAATTCGATTAATCACGCTTGCAACTGCGCGTCGTTTTTTCGCTTCTGGACGAGACATCGTGGTGAGGGAAGAAGAACACAAGGTGTTACGAGGACAGCGACGAGGACGAAGAACGGAGAACGCCGTTGCCCTCGATGATGGCTGCCAACACACTGGGCCCTCGTTGGCGGCTGCACTCGCCATTATCCGCAGTTACAGTCATCTTGCAAAATGCACTTTCACTTCTCGACGTATCTGCGGATGCGCCCGGTTTCGCGAGCTCTTTTTTTTTTCGTTCCGCACCCGGCTACCGGACGTTGCGATCTTCGTTCTTACTTCTTCCTCAACTCGCGAATATCATTATACACTTTTCAATCCTTTATTATGGATTTTGTAAATCAAATTCGATTTAACCAGACCGAATCATCCGGCGGGAACAGATCGACGAAACAACTAGAAGAGATCCGTTGTTTAAATGACAACACTTCCTCGATTGATTCATGTTTCACAACTCACCCCGTTCGATTCGGTGAAGCAACGATACGCGTTATCGAAACTCAACTTTCCTGTACGTTTTTACCAGTATCCGGTAGCTCGTGTAACGGGAATCGTCGTTCATTATCGGTTTCATTGTTGCGATATAACAGCAGCGGAGGTGAGGTCGATACTTGGTCGCAGGAATGTTGGTTAATTAAAATTTCACCGGTATCGACGAGCTTTATGCAAATCAGTATCGATTTCAGCACCGGAAAACAGGGATTTTACCTTGGCCAGGTCGACCGAAAGTGCGTCAAGGACGCGTCGAATGCGTTTCGCGATCTGCGATTCAATCGTTCGATCGATGAATCAGATTCGTTTCGCAGACCGTGCTCCGTCTTCCTGTTTGTGTCTTCGCTTTCACAGCATGAACTTTGAAAGTTTGAATTCTTCCGGATGCAGAAGCATTTGTAACTCTAATCGAAGTAGCGCGGCGTAGAAATAAAAGAATCCAACGATGTACGCGAGCATTATCGAGGGATAAGTAATTTGGTCGAGGCTGATCGACAGCGGCGGAGCGTAAAAAATGGTGAAAAAAAAAAAATTCAAGGATAAGGATGAAGAACTACACTCGAACGCAGGGATTTCGAAAAACCACGGTAGTCCACACTGTACGCGGTCTCGACATGAACTGAAAGACTGGAGGTTTACGGTTACTCGTGTGCGTAAGGCATTACGTGCGTGTGCGTAACAGACTGTACACACGTGTGCAGCACCGTACCTGTGCATACAGGGTGACGCGGAAGAAAAGCATCGAGCTTGTTTCCCCTGTCCCTAGGCTTTTCGTGATACGAATTCCTCGCATAACCCCGTAATGACACGCCAGGAATTCCTTTTCCTGCAACACCCTTTTAACCGTACCATTTACGACTATCCATCCGCATAGTTTTCGCAGGGATTTCAACTAGGAAATTGAAATATTTTGAAATCACATTTGTCCCTTTATAATACATTGGCCTTAAATAGTTCGTATTCTATGAACTTAATTACTCTTCCCGTGTGTATTTCAAAACGAAAGCGTTCTTACTTACATCGTAACTCTATTCGTAACAAGACTTCCATTCAACTCATTTCCTCCTATGAAAGCAACGCGAAACGTATAGAGCACAGGGTACACGCCTGACAACTTGTGGACAAACTCGTAGCACAACTACCAAAACCCAGCAATTATTTCATTTTATTTCATATTTCACGCATTCCGGTTTCACTTTAGCGTGAAACGCTCCTTTCTCACCATGAACCCATTTACTTTTTCGGAAATCAAAATAAATTTGAAATATCGAAAGTTCAATAGGTATCTGGGTACCCGGTTGCCCTCACCAGAGTTAAATCGAGCACCCACGGGAACACAGCGATACCAAAATTTTTTGTTCCTCTTTCACCGTGTATGTCACCCATTCGTAGTCCGATTGTGTACCGATTGTGGGAACCCTTCGTCGCGTGTTAGTGAACGGTCTCTCTGTTGCCCGCTCGCACACGCTCGCGTGTTTGTACACCGTTCACAAGGGTAACGCTCGTATGTGTGTGTGTGTGTGTGTGTGTGTGTGCAACTATTAATGTGCATCACGGCTGCGTGCACACCCTACTCGTGCAATTCTACTCGTGCGCCTCATGGTCAGGGCGGGACGCATTATTTTCTGCAATAATGCGAATGTGCGTTCTTTGTGCGGACTCTGCAGTGGAAGGTGGACACGCGCGTCCAGGGAGAGGCTGTCGTTGAATTTCGAGCCGTCTGTCTCTCAAACTGAACCGAGAGTTCAATAATCCGGCCTCTCGATCGTTCGCCAATTGTTTTCCTAACGGTACCCGAACGATTTTCTGTAATTCGCGTGGGAAGCAACGACTTCAGAACTCTATTTTAATACGAAAACATGGAACGAGGAAACGGTGAACGTTCGAGTTTCAAGGTTTCCGGTGATTCGCGATGATAGGGAATCACGGCACCCATTCCTCCAGATTGACCTACATCCGAACGAGACCTTTTGACCTGCATTCCATATACGTCGAACACGATACCCTTTTCAATTGAACAGCGATATACCCGAGCTACGTGAACGATGATTAGTTTCAAAGAGGTTGCATGTGTTCACCTTTCGAACGATTGAATTTTCTGCTTATTTCATCGAGAATATTCAATTTAAATGGTACACCCTCTATACACTACGATTGTAGGTGGACGAACTAAGTGATAGAAAGGATCAATTTCATAGCTCGCGGATATATAAGCATTACCTTACGTAGATTTAAGATTAGAACATGTTAGGCGTTTAACATGCACTGTTACTTATTCAGGGTGCTCATTGTAAGTGACACGCTGTGCGTGAGGTTAAAGCCGAGTGAATGTTTCTTGCATTGCTCATTGTGTCTCGAGTGCCTTGTGCGGTGGTTCGTTTAAGAATAGGTAGAAATCGAGGGGGGCTCGTTTAACCAAACCCGCTAATATCGCGAAACCTGGCCATGCTAATTTGTATTCAACGGCTGGCGCAACATCGTGTTACAAAAATTACATACCTACCGCTGGAAATGAATTGGCGAAAATGGAAATTGTTCATTAATGTTTCATGTCCCTCAGTTCGATTGTTCTAGAACATTTAAGGCGTTTAACGTGCTAATGCCACGGTATTAAAAACACTAATTATTATAACGTTATTAAATAGAACGATCGAAAGTAACCGGGAATCATTAACGTTTTATGTGCACGCAACCATGGATGATTGAAAATAATTACGGCTATTTTTCGAGAAAATTAACGTTTTTATTCTGCTTTTATCATGTTTTTTTTTTTAATTATTAACGCCTTGAATGCAATAGTGAAAATGGATATCTCTAATAAGACGCATTAAAACATTAATTATACCGAGAATGCGATAAGTTAATTTTAAAATTTAAACTTTCAATTTTCTTCTATTAAATATTTATGCACTTTATTATGCACTCGGCGGCTTCTCTGGCTATCAGTCAGGCCCAATTCTTAACCAGGAACGTAATCAAATGCTGTGCTTGTGCAAGTACCATATGCCCATATAATGAAATAATAATAATAATTTATATTTCAACTCTGTGGTTCGTCAAAGAATGCATGAATTTGACAAACGAGAATAGTTCAACAGAGCAGAACCGACATGCGATGATAGACCCACATTGATCCCGTGGATAGCATAAATCAAGCCCGCCCATAAACCCACTTAAACATTTTTCCGGGCTAGTATCGTCCGACAGCGATTAGATTCCGCGAGCCAGCCAGCGGAATGACCGTCGGGACCGCGAGCATTCTTCGCGTACACGTCAACGCCGAAGAAATTTATTCAAAGAGGTGGACGAACACTCGGAATTGAAAGAGAGGATAGAAGAAAATGCGATGAAATAAAGAGAGTGAGAAGCTGGCAAGAAAGAGAAAAAGCTAGCTCGTAGATATTCAGCGGCAGTTGGGAAGGTGTAGCCTAGTGGCTGCGAGGAATGCGTAAACGGTAGAACCGTTTTGTCCGCGAAGAAAGAGCAGGAGAACATGATTGGACACTGAATGCACTCGAGAGACGTCGATGACTAACATCGAGCGTTCCTCAACCGGTTAAATGATTTTGACAAAAACTGCGAATACCTCGTGCCACCTGTGCAATTTTCTCCTCTGACTTTTTACGAATTACTCCCTGCGTACGGTTGCTTCCCAGTTTCTTTCTCGTCAGATCGATCGTTTCGTAATTTGCGAGCTTCTTTCGCGTCCAAAGGGGCGTATCGAACGTTTCCGGATCACTGTGGCGCCTCCGGAACGCGACATTTCGTCTGATATTTTTATTACTCTCCGCAAGGACGATGACGCGTCGGAGCGTTGTCCG